TGATCTCTGTTGAACTGAGTAGCTGAGACATGGAGAGATAGAGGAGTTGTTCCAGGAACACATAGATGACATCAGTAAACTAGAAAGCAAACCTCCAGACTCAGAATCTGACATGCTGTAAACCACATGCCTGGCTTCTCTGGGGTGGAGTATCATCAGCTCCCCTGTTCTCTCTAAGCCTTTCACAATGGGCACAGGAGACAAAGGAGAGAGCTCCCAATAAGCCCTGCCTAGCATCATCCCTGAATTCTGTTAAATTGAGTACACAGGAGCCAATAGGGAAAAATCATTGCATTTTCTCCTGCCAAAGGGCACAAAAGATTCAGGTTTTCCAATGACAGTGTGAAACCCATCCTGGGGTGAGAGAGGGAGCTGTGTGGAGGAATTCCTGCAGCTGGCTTCCTGACTGAGCCAGAGAGTCCTGAGGCAGTGTTGTTTTATTTACTAATATAAAATTTAATAATTTCTAACTTATCAACGTGCTGATTTTATTTTTCAAATGAAATTATTGGTAAATATCTATAATATCAATGGTTATCAAATATAGTGATTAATTAAATCATGAAAGATTATTCCATCTGACCATATGTTCTGAGTTTACATTTGCAAAATGCAACTCCACTCTCTAAGGATCTCTGTTCTTTAGCAGCAGAGCATGTCTTGGTAAAGTCCTGAAAGTGTGTCTTTTACTTCCTTGCATTACTTCACCCAGTGTTCATTAATTACCCACAACTTTCCAGATGATGCATGGAATCTCTTTTGTAGCCTATTCCTGTTGGTCTTGCTCTCAGCTTGTTGCAGTTGAAGTTTGTGTTATATCTCTTGGAAGTTGGGTGGGAGGAAGGGGTGACTTTCTCCAGTTGAAAGAGTAGAACAATGTAGATGCTAGAGTGATGTTTTAAAACTGGGTTGAAGATGGAAGGTGCATTCTGACACCCTTCAATCCACACTGAAGGCAGCTGCTCACTACTCAGGCTTGTCCAACAAAGATTTCCCCCAGGACACAACAGCATTGTGATGCAATGGAAGACTGAAACTGGTATCTCTTAGGAAAGTGTGTGAGGCCTGTGCAAGATATGGGGGCATCAGATAGAGCAGGGTTCACATCCTATCTACTTTGCAACCAAAGTAAGGTTCCTCAGATACTGCTGGTCTCCATTTCCTATGTAAAGTGGGGATAAAGATAGCTACACCAAGGATTGTGAATAATAAATAAATAAAATAGCATTTGGCAAATGATGAGAACTGAGAAGCCATTATAATTCACATAGATCAATACATTTGAGAGAGGCTAAATTCTAAGGCAATTAAAAGAGAAAACCATTAAGGGTTGCAGGTAGTTCTGAGTGTCCTAATTATCTGGATTGTTAATTTTTAAAGTTCACAACCTAATGAAAGGAACTTAGAGAAACAGTGCACCAGTGCTCAACCACTTGATGTCTTTTTTGTGATGTGGCATGTGGAAAGAGTAGCCACGCATTCTTTTATACTTGGGACACTGCTAGTTTGCCCAGCGGTAACAGGCATTGCAGTTCCAGCTTATGCCTACTGTTGCAGTGTAAACAGGAATAACGTGCATGTAACTTTAAAAAGTATCCCAATGTGAACCATGCATTGAAGAGTCCCTTACCTCTTTTAAAATATTTTGTGAGCTACTGGTTTTCTCCTCTTTCCAACTGTTCAATCAAAAGACAGCTCAGGGCCCTCCCTGGTGGTGCAGCGGGTTGAAGCACAGCACTAACAAGCTAAAGCCACTTTAGCATTAGTTTGATCCCCACCTGCCCTGGAGGAGACCCACATGGCGAGACAGACCTCTCCTGGCCTGCCCACTGCTCCCCTCAGCGGTGCACTTTGTGGATCTTCCTGTTCTGCTCCCCACTCTGTCTCTGGTGAATCCTCTCACCTTCCCTGCACCTTTGGCCTATACCCCAGTACTGTATGCATAAATAAATAAATCTTTTTTTAAAAAAAAAAAAGCTCAAAAGACAACAAATCTAATGAAAGTACCTGCTTCAATATGCTTTCCATCACATACTTTTGTAGGGATAGTTCCAGCTCAGGATCAGACTCTAGCATGCACGCAAGCCTCAGGAGGTCTGCAAGGGATGAAGGAGGGATGGGGGTGGTGGGCTTGAGTCTGCAGTGCTAAAGAAGCCTCCCGTGCTAAAGAAGCCTCCCTGTCCTCAGTCCCTGGGCAATGATCTTCACAGTTCAGTAAGGACGCTGGGACAGAACACGCAAAGGGAATGGGAAAGTCAACAAGAAGCTTTAAGAGGTGTGGGTCCCTAAAATTCAGTTGCATGTAGCTCAAAATCCAATTCTCAGTTGCATAAAATTTTGAATCTAGGAATATTTTCACCTTTGGACTTGAGCTAAAATTGTTGTTACAGAAGATGGAAATCTGTGTCTCTATCACATTCCTTAGCTCAGAATAAAGACCCTAATTTTGTCCAATTGGCTTTAGACTCCATATTCATGAATCGCTCTAGGTTTCTAATTAGACTTGTTTTTTTCCCCCCCTAGCTTGTCTGATGTTAATTTGGTTGTTTGACTAGCCCAAGAAGAACTTAGAAGTGGGGAACAGTTTTTCTAATCAGTCATATTCCATGTAGAGTTCTGTGTTTAGTCTTCTTAGTAAGACTACTTTTTCTTACCACAGACAGACAGAGGTCTGACAATAAGGGATGATAGTGATGGAATGAAATGCATGCTAAAATTGAAAAGGCAGCGGGAGTAAGAGTCAGAGTAGCTGCTAATCCAGGTTTAACAACAATTCGCAGTGTGACTTGGACAAGTCACCTTGCTGCCCCCCTGTCTGTTGCCTATTTCTTCACCTGGGGGGAAAAACAAAACAAAACAGTGGAGTTTTGCTAACTCTTCGGAAATGATTGATAGTTGTAATTACCAACATTGAAGGGAAATTAAACAAAGGACACTGAAAGGGGGTGGCTTGAGGGGCAAGAACAAAACTAGTTCTTGAACCCAGAATAAGAAGAGAAGGTTGTTCAAGAACAAGAGTATCTAAGGTCAGCCACCTTAGTGGTCTGAGGAGGGGTCACCTGGTGTGGCAAGTTGATAGTCATTAGTGGGCTTGACATAAACATTTTCAGCAGCTAGAAGAGGGTAAAGGGTAGATACCAGGGGTTCAAGACTGAAGATTATGCAAGTATGTGTCCTGGCCAGCCCCATGGGTGCAATCAGTATTTATTGGGTGAATAAATAAGTGAGAGAATGGAAGAGGAGGCACATATATGCAGATTACTCTTCTGAGAAGTTCCATGATGATGGTTAGGAAAGAAAATCTTCTCTTAAGAGAAAATGGTTAGGATTCCTAGCAGCTTTAGCTTTTCCTTCATCCTACAGGGCACTTGCAAATATATGGAAGATGAGGGACAGGAGTCAGTGTCAAGGGAGAGGGAGGACTAAGGAGCCTGTTCTTAGAATTGCTGTGTGTGGACATAGGTGTCCTGCTCAGGACAGCGAGCTGGAGGGAGTCACTGGTAATGGTGCCCCGTAAGACCTGTTCTGCCACTGAGAGGGGAAAGCTCTCGTAGAGGAAGAGTACTTACTTTTGTGGTCACCAGAAGGATAGTAATCCATGAAAGTCATACACTTTGTGAAAAATTCTTCAAAGTTAAATGTAGGGGGTGGTTTTAGGAAGTTAACCTAAATTTAAAAAAATGAGAAACTTATTTTGAGGGTTCTAATCTGTTCTTTGGTACAGGCATGTCTCTCATCTTGGCTACCATCTGGATGTGTTTTCCATCTTTCCTTCCCATTTGCCATGCAGTCCTGTTCTGATTCAGTCAGTGGCTAACTGTTAGCTATCCCCAAGACCTGTCACTTGGCCTGTGGATTACCTGGAGCTGAGGTCAATCAAGGCCCTAAAGCCTCTTGAAATATTTTATCACACTCTTAGCTACCTGAAAGAATGAAAGGGAGGTGGATCTTATCCATAATCCTTATTTCTAGGACTAAATAAACTTTCTATTAGAGAAACCTACCCAAATGGCAGAGCAAAGATGCTTTCATTGCAGAGCATCTTTATCATATGAATAACATCCTCATTATGTGAATCTACCTCCACTCTCCTTGAAGTCCCAGGCCCCTATCCTGTTCCTTAGCTAGAATAAATACCCTAATTTTGTTCAGTTTGGCTTTAGACTCCATAATCAGATGATTCTCTCTAGGTTTGTAACTACACTTATTTTTTTCCCCCTACTTTGATTGTTTGACTAGCCAAGAAGAACTTAGAAGGGGGGGGAAGCAGTTTCTCTAATCAGTCATATTCCACAGACTGTTCTGTGTAGTCTTCTAGAGACTGCTTTTCATTAGCCACAGCACTTTCTACTGGACAGAATCAAGGGAAAAGTTTCTCTTCCCTAAATCTTGTTGGCTCTATTGGCTCCAATTCTCACTGTTCAGTGATTCTTCAGGGAACGAAGTGGGGATAGGTGAAGGAAGAGGGAGAATGGATAGTACAGGGAGGGTCAAAAGAAGCTTACATACTACTTTCCCTCTGTACTTTTCCCTCCCTAGGGGACACTTCCTATTCCTTAAGAAAGAACACTAGCCTCCCCTCCCCCAAAGGCTTTAATCCCCTAATTCCACATCCACAGAGAAACCCTAAATTTCTTCTTAAACTCATGAAACTCGGCCCCTCTCAGACATGTCCTGGACTAAGGGCCATCAGGAGAGCGGTCGCCAGTCATGTCTCTAGCCCCAGAGCTTCCTGGAACTAGTTTACTGGTGGGTGGCCCCAAGGCACAAACTGGCAGGATGTCCTGCCAACAGCGCTGTCACCTTAACTGCTCTCTGGTCAGGGATCCTCTCGATTTCAATCATGTTGCGGTCGCAGAGCTGCCAGCAGTTTGGTGACAGAATGACATCATTCATCTGGGCCATGTTCTGTGCCAGGCGCACGTCTTCCACGGCCTGACCAATCACCAGAAAGAAGTTGCGTGTTTTATCTCCAAACACCAGCATCGTGATGTGGCCGGCAGCCAGGCCTGCAAGAGGGCAAACTGCAGGTCTGCACAGGATGTTCTGGGTTATTCCCCAGCAGCAGGTTCTTAGAAAACTCAGAATCTTGGGGTGACTGCACCACTTTAGAAAAAAAATCAACTTCTAAAATGTTCATTCTAAATTCAGTTTCTAAAATCACTTCAGGGCTCAAGTCTTCCCAAACTCTACTTTTTCTCATGAAGCTAGTAAGTCCTTTCTGTGACATTTAATGCCTTAGGTAGCTCTCTCTGTCCCCAAAGTTATGTTATCCTTTTCCAATTAATTTATTAATTTTATTAATTTCATTGTTAATTATTAATTTATTAATTTTAACTTAAGGGCAACAGAGAACAACTTTAAAAATCCCTATTTGGGACCCTCCTTGATGGCACAAGGGATTAAAGCATAGCGCTATGAAACTATCGCAGCCACTGCAGCACGAGTTCGATCCCCAGCCAGGGAGGTGACCCACATGGCACAGCAGACCTCTCCTGACCTGCCCGCTGCTCTCCTCTGCAGTGTATTTCAGTCTATCTGCCTGTTCTGCTCCCAATTCTGTTTCTGATGAATCCTATTACCCCCCACACCTCTGGCCTGTACCCCAGTTCTGTAAGAATAAATAAATAAATCTTTTTAAAAAATCCTGTTTGAGGAGCAATTACATGGAAGTAGGACTGAGGCATTAGCTAAAAAGAAACCCTTGGAACTGCCTGAGGGAAAAGGTGGGGGAAGTGAGGGGAATTTCAGGTTTTCCACTCCAACAATGTGTCCTCCAGTTGTTCTCCAGTTGGGAGCTGAAGGTTTTAGTGCTCAACCAAAACAAGACAAGATGTTGTACAATGTGACATGTACTGAAAATGTCTATAAAATAATCTAAACTTGTCATCATTGCTTTCTGCTTGCTGAGTTCTCAAGGCTGAGGTGAGCAAGTGTGTCTGTGTGGGGGGTTTGTTTTCCCTCTAAGACACAGAGCTGTTTAGAATCATTAAAGTAACTGGTGTCACCTTTCTGCCACTGACTGGCAGATACATGAAGGGTTTGTATCCAAGTCATCCTAATGCTCAATATTGTAATGACTTGGACTTTTTCCAAAAGAAAAATTATTATATTTGGAAATTATAAATAAGCTAAACAAAACTTAGCCCATTGGATAACCACTCTGATGTTCTCTTCACCTCTGACACTTCAGAATTGATGGTGTACAGAGTTAAATTAGGCACAAGCTAACACCAATAGTAACACATCGTTTCTGCCTCTCAGGACCTCATTTCTCACACTCCAGATAGATAACATGATGCCGAAAGCCCAGGACTGTGATGAAGCCAAACTGCTGTCACATGTGTGCTGTCTGCAGCACAATACAGATATAAATATGGCTGTTACATGTATGAACTTAAAAAGCCCTCCATTATAGTAGGACTCTGTTGCAGGTTCTCTTAAGCTTCTCTTGCATATTATTCTTACAAGGTGGGTGAAGTGCTGTCTTATGCTATTTTTGGACCTATTGATATGTAATTACAAGCTGCTCCTTACTGACAGCAGCAGAACCTAAAAACAGTAACAGGAATTTTAATAATAAAGACTGCATTACAGCATAGTTATGATATGCCGGATACTGTACTTAACCGTTAAAGTTTTGTGAGAGCCTGTGTGGTAGATATAAATGTTAACCTGAAAGCTGTTAAATGAGGGAGCCATAATTTGCATTCCAGTTAGCCAAATTCCAAAGTCCAAGATGTGATGATGGATTAAGCCATTATGATCTGAGTTAACTCTTTAGGACAGAGATGCCTCAAGAATCTCAGCCTGTATCCAAACTGTTGTAGCATTTCTTTTCTCAAACGCTTACCTATCTTGACTCGGACATCCAGGCCTTCTTGACATTCCTGGGATTCAAACAATCCATGGATCTCCAGGCTACACTTAATGACCACTGTTATAAAGTTTTTCAGTTGCCTTCGCTCCACTTTCCACAGGGCTAGCAAGGCGTCACCTTGAAAACACAAAAGTGGAGAGGGCATGTCATGGCCTTCCCAGGAGATCAGTCTATTTTGTAACAAATCTGTACAGAAACTTCCTCTTCAAACATTCCCCAGTCCCATCTCTTGGCCCCTGTGTTCTCTGAGATTCCCCCTTTTTCAGGGTTCCAGAAACCTGGAATTCCCTTCTGATGCTCCCATTTCAGTATGCCCTCATACCTGCAAATTTTAAGATGTCACCTCCAAAAATCAACACTTCTAAGGAAAAAAGAAAATAAGTTGAATCAAACTCAGATCTCTTACAGCTAACAGAAAGAATTTATTCTTGTGAACCTACCCCCCCAAACACCTATAGTATTATAAACCACTGTTATCTCCTAAAAAAATTATACTTAAAAGAAGAGTTCACATTTCATCAGTGGAATGGAAATTAAGTCAAAAGAATAGTATTTAAGGAGTAGACCTATGGTGAAGCTATCATTTCAGACAAGTCACTTCAACTTGTTTGTTTCCTCCACTGTAGAATGTGTGCCTTGAACTAGATTATGTACCTGCTCCATTTATGTGAATGGGAAAATAGAACAAGAAAGGTGGGATTCCTGATGAGGCCTCGAGATAGCTACTCTAGTCCCTAAGTGGCAGAATGTTTTCTACTGATGAATATATATTCTGAGCTAGAGTTTGAGTGAGTGAGTGGTTGAGTGACAGGACTCCATAACAACTAAAAATCAGAAAATTGGGAAGCCAGTGCTATGTAAGTCAACTGGCTTTTATTACTGACTTGTATTTAATTTATTTACACTTTATGACATGAATGGAGACTTTTTTTCTTATTTAGTTATCACCACAAATTTGGTGAGCACTGTTGTGTTGAGAGGGTTGCAAAAGAGGAATTAGATAAGTTTCTGCTTTTAAGGAAAATTATATTTTGTTTAGCGCATGATAATAAGATATTGGTATGGAACTTATGGTTGATAAAATTCTAGACCTAGAGTTTGCCTTAATAGAGTAAATACTTTTCTTCATCAATAGTTCAAATTAATAATGCAAACAAGATGGCAGGCAAAGATTGAAAAGAAGATAAAACTTTTCAATCAATTGTGTTTCAGAATTTATTAGATTTACTTTTAAGTTAACTATACATCACTTTTCTATTCATAAACATTCTCTTAAGGACTACATTTGGGCTACCACTGATTTTTTTTTTTTTTAGTTACCTAAAACATTACTACCAAAGTTCTAAAAGTAGTTTCTAATTGGGTCTTTTAATATAAAATGTTCTCTCGAATAGTTTGTTTAGTGAGGTTGTGCTTAGACTCACTTGTACTGCATTATATTTCAAATGAGACTGGTTTCACACACAATTCATGGAGGAAATGAAGAGTACCAAACAATAGTACTATATCAGGCTATAATCACCAAGTAGAGAAAAACAATGAATTGAAATAATAATAAACCAGAATGTTACGGGTTACTTACTCTCCACTATTGCACTTATGTAGTGGTTGAGGATCTCTACCAGCTGTTCAGCCCCTCGGTCCATATACATTGCTGTGCTGAACTTTTCAGTCATTTCAGTAAAACCTGTAATAAAGATTTTGTAAACAACAACAAACAACAACCCTGTAATAGCTAATTTCCTAGGCTACTTGGAGGGACCAAACAGAACAGCAGAATACCACACCAGAGAATAGTAGTTCACAGCTCCGAAGAACTAAGAGGAATTCTTCTTAATGATCTTTGAGGTTGATCAAGTCTAACACCTGCATTCTGTCTCTGCTTGTTGTTAGGGCTCAGGGAGAAGCACCAGACACCTCTTCCCTCTAAATTTTTCAGTGTCTGTAGGGATGACGGCACTTTGACTGGATATAGAACTTCCATTCTATAGTAATGAAAAATCAAAATTCAAACACTGCTGAAGAGGTGGCAAGTATCCCTTAAGATGTAAACGAACATCTTAGGCAGAGAGATAAGGATCTGGAGAAGCCCTTCCTTGAGGTCACTTTTGCCTGGGATCTGTGTAGGGCTTGGGCAGGGGGTTAGCCAGAGTGTTAGCCAGTGGCATCAGGGCCAGGATACTGGAGTCAAAAGTTACAGGAGAAAAAATAAAAGTTCCAGGAGAGGGGTAGGGCATCTGAAGGATTTTCCCATGACTGGGCATGCTAGGTAAGAGAAAGTGAGAGAGTTCCAGGTACATAAGTTACCTGTCCGCCCTCCTGCCTTTTCAGTAGAACTATCTTCTACTGGACATTTGCAGCAAGAGCTCCAAAATCACTCCTGACACTGTAGACAAGCTCTACATGTGAATTCAATACCACCTGTTGTGTACCCATACTCTACATCCCTGAAATATCAACAAACATTGATTGCTTGCCTGAAATATCAACAAACATCAAGACTCCATCAAAATAATCTACAGACGGTAGCTCTGAAGAGAAATCTCCATAGACAATGAGGTCTGGCAAATGAGCAGCTATTCTGACAATGGCTCGATCCTGTGACTCTTCTCGTCGTGAATTCATGTTCAAAACAAATGTTCAGGATTTCGTGGTCACAGTAAACAGTCCCCAAATAGACCTTCTGGAAAAAAAAGCTGGGAATGAAGGAAATCTGACATATTCATTCACTCACTTTCCTACTTTTTTTTTTCTGTTGCTGTGTGCTGATCTCTTTTAAGTAATTAAGTGGGGCCAATGTCTAAGTTAATTGATTCATACTTCAAAAGAGCTAATTCTCTATAGAGGGCACCCCCAAACTGAGCCCCCAATCTAAACAGCTCCTACAGGAATGAGTACCATTACAAACAGGCAGGGGTGAAAGGCTCATCCATTTTCATGAAAGGGGCATCCTTTCTGTGCCAGTCTTGTGGCAGAGAGCCCAGCGATACTGACCCCTTATTTAGTCTCCTTTCCTTTCATGTTTCTGCTTCCCTTCCTTCTATTTTTTCGTCTCTCATCTTTTTTGCTCTCCTTTTTGAAAACTAAAAAGCAATGTAGATATAAATTTTTGTATGAGCATTAGGTGATTAGCAAAATGAAGTATTAAAGATAAGCAAGAGGTGATATGTATAATGGCAGAGCTTAAATAAATAGAATTCAAAAGGGGGTGTGATTGTGTGTGTGTGTGTGTGTGTGTGTAAGGCTTTAAGTGTAAAGTGGAAGGGAGTGTTGAGTTTTAATTTGCTACTTTGTCAGTTCTGAGAAGGCTAGGATTTCTGAAGGCCTTCCTTTTGCTGCTGGGCCAGTTCAATGTCATACCTGTATGTTGTAAAAATCATGCTCTTCCACCCTCAACAGGAATAGTGGCCTCAACTTCTTCAGAGCAGTCCAAATTCCTGGGATGGGTGATACAGAAAACAAGAAATTTTTTTTTAAAAGAGGAACTGTTTGTGACCTAGAGGGAGAAGTTGGCTTGTAATTTTAAACAGACACAAGTCATACTGGGGACATAAGATTAGTAGAAGGGAAAAAGTGAGATAGTTAGCATACATCTTAGATTGTGGAAAATATTTTGTTGAAACAGGAGAAACTATATATATATATATATATATGTATCTATATGTATGTGTGTGTGTGTGTGTGTGAGAAACAACAGTATATTTAATAAATAAACTTTAAATTGTGTAGAATTCTCTAAAACCAAGAGCTGAAAAAAGGAAATTGAAGATTAAATTTTAGATATTGGTTGATCTTTAAGAGCAAAAACTCTGGTAAACTAAAATGTTAGAAAGTAAATAAAAAACAGAAACATGTAAGCAAGGTTTAAAAAGAAACAGCATTAAAAACTCAATTAAAAGTAGCATATGCAGGGGCCCTCCCTGGTGGCGCAGCAGGTTAAAGCACTGCACTAAGAAACTAAAGCCACTTCTGCATGAGTTCGATTCCCGCCTGCCCCAGAGGCGACCACATGGCGAGGCAGACCTCTCCTGACCCGCCCGCTGCTCCCCTCAGCAGTGTACTTCGTCGATCTGCCTGTTCTGCTTCCCGCTCTGTCTCTGGTGAATCCTCTCACCCTCCGCATCTCTGGCCTGTACCCCAGTTCTGTACAAATAAATAAATAAATCTATAAAAAAAAAGTAGCATATGCCACTGATAATCAACAGTAACAAGTAAGTCAAATAATTTCAGACAGTGAGTGATGCGAGAAAAAAAAGTGTGAGAAAAATTGAAAATAAAAAATACATTAAGGTTTAGGGAAAATACTTAAAGAAACCCCAAAATCCAACACAATAACCTAGAGAGAGTGTTAAGCTTTATGGAAAACAAGGAAATTAATAAAAGAGAAATAAGGGCAAAGTTTGAATATAACATACTACACAGCTCTTCTTTTCTTCTGCCTCCTGCATTATAAGTTGAAAAGTCTACCAACTATTGCCAAGAAAAAAATGATAAAGGTTGTACCTAGTTACTTTATTTTATTATTTTTTTAAAGATTTATTTATTATGCATACTGAACTAGGCCAGAGGTGCAGGGGTGGTGAGAAGATTCAGCAGAGACAGAGCAGGGAGCAGAACAGGCAGAACTGAGGAAGTACACTGCTGAGTGGAGCAGCGGGCGGGTCACGAGAGGTCTGCCACGCCATGTGGGTCACCTCTGGGGCAGGCGGGGATCGAACTCGTGCTGAAGTCGCCTTAGCCTCTTAGAGCTGTGCTTTAACCTGCTGCGCCACCAGGGAGGGCCCGGTACCTAGTTATTTTAAGTAAATTCAAGTAGCCAAACCCAGAGATTGTATATCCACAAATACTGAAGGAACAGGTACACGTAATGTCAGTAATCTCAATAAAATAATGGAGAACCAGAGATGAGCTGGGTATGGGCTCTTCTGAATTTTAAGAGACTACATGTGTATTCCAGAAAGCAGTGTGGTAATCAACCTGTCAGTCCATGTAATGCTTCATTAAGAGGGACCCTCCCTGGTGGCACAGCAGGGTAAAGCACAGCATTAAGAAGCTAAAGCCACTTCAGCATTAGTTAGATCCCTGCTCCAGAGGTGACCCACATGGCACAGCAGAACTCTCCTGACCTGCCCACTGCTCCCCTCAACAGAGTACTTTATCAGTCTGCCCGTTCTGCTCCCCACTCTGTCTCTGGTGAATCCTCTCACCACCCTGCACCTCTGGCCTGTACCCCCCAGTTCTTTATACATAAATAAATAAATCTTAAGAAAAAAAAAAAGAAGAAGAAAAGAAATAACTCCAAAATCTCAGTGAATTGAAATACCAAAGGTTTACTCCTTGTTCATTTCTTGCTACAAGGGTCAACTGTAGGTTGATTGAGGCTCTTCTCTACTGTTGCTTTCATTTTCATTTTGTTTACACTGGGACATTCTGGTTATTACCAAGTAGCAAAAGAGGATTCAATGAGCTGGGTGTGTTCTGAAAGTCCTCCCAGAAGTGACATCTGCCAGTACCCGAGGCAAGTGATGTGGGAACATCCAATTTCAGGTAGATAGGGAAATGCAAAACTACCATGTGTATAGCAGGAAAAAAATATGGAGTGTGTGTGAGCAACCTGTGTGGTTATTATTCTTGATAATAGGTGAGCACTTAGATCAGTAAGAATGGCTAAAAGGTATCAAAATGGACTCAGAATCAAGAACCAAGAGGAGATAAAGTTTTTTTTTCCCTCTGCTTAACTTCAAAGCAGTTATTAAATGGTAAGTCAAGAAAATGCTATAGACAAAGTATATCTTTACTTTCACAAGACATTTGGCCACACTTCTCACATTCTTGTTGATAAGAATAGAGATTATAGGAGTGATGAAAATATAGATAACTGTCTTATAATCAGACCTAACAGAAGGATGTTGATTTATGTTCTAGAGTCCACTCAGAAGCCTGCAGGGAGGTGCTAGAAGACTTAGGTAAAGACGTAAGGGAAGGAGAGCTAGTATACTCACTGACACAACCAAGATCTTAAAATATCTTCATGGGTTAAAATAATAGTGAAATAAATAAATAAATGCAAAATGCTATATTTACACATTTTACAAAATCAAATGCATAAGCAATTGTGAACAATTTGTAATTTTATTACAAATTCAATGTTGTCTTTAAAAATATTTATTGAAAAAAGATTAAAGCTGTGCAATGATAGAACTAAGTAAAGGAAAAAAATATTTATTGAAGTATAGGCACAACATATGCAGAAAAATGCACAATTTGCCAGTGTATAATTTGGTGAATTATTATAAAGTTAAAACATGCATATAATCCATAGTCATATTGAGAAAATCAGTACTGTAATAATTTCTCTCATACTATCTCCCAGCTATTTCCCTCCTTCTCCCCAAAAGTAAACTCTTCTGATTTCTAACACCCTGGATCACTTTTACCAGTTTTGAAGCTTTATATAAATGAAATTTTGCTATATACATTCCTTTTTCTCAAAGTTTTATAAAATTCATTTATGTGAATTTCAGTAATTGCTCATTTTCACAGCTATGTAAATTTCCTCCACCTGATTATACTACAAAGAACCTATTTTATTATTGACCTATAGGTTGTTTCCTGTTTTAGGCTATTAAAAATCATGCTATGGAAATTCCTATACAAGCGTTTTGGTGAATATATGCATGCATTTTACTTCACTCTGCACCTGGCAGTGGTGTGGTAGGCCATAGTATATAAGGATGCTGAACTTTGGTAGATTTTGCCAAACAGTTTTCCGTAAAAGTGGTAGTCCAAATTCCATTCTGCAAGGAAGATAGAAAAGTTCAGTAGACTTATGTGCCAGCTAACCCTTGCTATTTTCATTTTTACCCATCTTGATAGGTAAGTGATATGGCTTTGTGTTTGCCTGGTGGAACCAATGAAAATAAGTACCTTGTTTGTATTGGCATTTATATGCCAATCTTAAGGTGCATAAGCAGTACTCGAATGTGACCCAGATTTTTGGATTATTAATAATGGGATGTAAGAAATGATGAGAAAGATTGGAGTTTTAAGTGAAGAGATGAAATGTGGCTTAAAAATGTAATTGTCTTATTTGGAACATGACAGTTGTGCATTACACAGTTCCCTGTGTAAAGTTTAATGCAGCTCCCTGCATTTAACTAAGAATGCCCCTACCTCTTCCATTAAGTAGGGGCTGGGTTTGATTACACAAGAAGAGAAGGGGGAATGGTTAGTTGGCAATCTTTTCTCAAGTTTACCGAAGTATAGTTGGCCTTAAACAGTATGTTTTCTCTAAGCACAGATACTCTAAGTTGGCTTCCACAGATACACTAAACAGCGCCAGGATTGAGAGAGGACTGAGCGAGGACTGAGCAGAAGTGAACAGGGTATATCTCCGTTTTTCCTTCTCCAAGATGCTTCTGGGTGCCTGGGTGCCTCTCCAGTGCTGCCCATTGACTATCTCAACCTTGCTGTCTTTGGCTGCCACTTATAAGATTGTGAGATTTAGCAGGGCATCCAGTTTAATTAGAACAATTCAATACTTTTAGTTACTTATGAACAATTTTGATTTATTCATAAATTAATATATTTTAATAGAAATAACCCCCAGGGTCATCTTCATCTACTAAGCCTACTCCAGCTTGTTAATTTTAGGAATACCCTAAATAGACAGTTTTGATTCAGTGTGAACACTGTGGAAAGCGGATTAATTTTTTGTAGCTCCAAAGTGATTAATCTGGTTCAATAAGTAGAGATCACTGGGAGGTTCAAAAATATAAGGATGAATTCAACACAGACAGTCAAGTAGTATTGGATTTCATTGTGAAGCTGTATAGTGTCTGCCTCTGAGGTTATAATGATCCTTATACTTAGTGGAAAGATGAATGAGATGATTACTAAGATTCCATTGATTTAAATAAGGTGATGTGAGAACTTGGATAGTTTAAATTTATGACTATTAGTCAAGAAAGTAGACACATTTGAAGATGAGAATGACACAGGCAGGAAGGAAACTAGAAAATTATTTGCTCATGGGCTGAAGAGGCAGTGACAACTAAAATGAATACCTGAGGGTTTTTCTTAACACCCATAATACATTTCTATTTTAGAACTTAGTCTTATGCTTTAAGTTTCATAACATCAGAGAATGATTACCGATACCTATTGTCTCATTTAATCTGTCAAAGCACTGACAGGTAGGTCTGGTCCTCCTTTTATAGAAAGGAAGTTGAGAGAGATTCATTTGCTTTATGTCACATGGCAAGAGTCCAGGTCCAGGGGATTTGAAAGTCCACACTCTTTCTACTGTACCATACTACATTCCATTTGTATATATTTTAAGACACTTTGGGGATTCTTATGACTTCGAGAAAAGATGCATTTAATTTCAAAACATTTTCAATGCATGTTGATATTGCTGTTATCAATTATTTGGTCAGCACAATATTAAGAATAGAGAGCGATGAAGGTAATGCATTAAAGAAGCATAAAGCCATACAGAAATGAGTATATCTGAGAGTACAAGTGCAAGCATGTGAGTGAGACTCCAGAGATACACCAAGTTGAATGAAGGGAAACGTGTACAGTTTCATTCTGCTTTAAGAAAACTCGATAGTAACCAAAAATGAAAACAGAATTAAAGATAGTTCAGCCAGTATTTTTCTCATAATAGCTCTTCTAGAAACTTGTAATGGATTACTGTTTTCATTCAATTTTTCATCAATGTAGACAGTAGGTTTTATGAGTCCAAAGAAATCTGAACTTACAGGGAAAATACTGTATGTCAAGAATGCTTGACTCATCACTCTAGTCAAGGACACTTCCTGAGCTGTTAAAGCATTTGATATTCATAAACATGTCTTATTTTCTATTTAAATATCCAGATTATTTATTGATCTGTTTATATTGCTTTTCTCTGAATTGTAAGCACTTCTGCGTCATAGGCCAAGTTTAACATGTCTTTTTTTCTACATGTTTTTTTCCTACACTGCATATCCCCAGGGCCTCTTCACATGGGAGGCATTTACTATTTGATGACAGATAGAAAGGAGGCTGTCACATGAGATGATGCAGATGTAAATAGACATTAAGCAAAAATAGAGCATTCAGGGTAAATCACATGAGGTAATAAATTTAAGTCTTCAAGCTTCCAATCTCACTTGAAAGTGACACTGAGATACATAAAGTGAATCTCCATTCCTAGCCCAAGGCTTTCTAACTGTCTTCTAAGCTCCAATGCCTGTCTTTTCCCCATTAGCTCTGCAACCATTCTTCCTACTAAGACTCCTATTCCACATACCTCCACTTCCTCCAAGACTGAGGAGAAGCCAGAGCCTAGACTAGATCTTTCAGGAGTGCAGAAAACAGGAAAGGGGCTTGGGTGACATTATTCTGAAGACAGCAGAGCCAGTCTGTCTATAGCTGACCTATAAAATGACAGTTTTGTCTAAAAGCCGTTTTCCAGGCCACACCCTCAGTAGAAGCTTATTGTTTGACAAGCACTAACTTTGCTTCTGATTGGCTGGCACTGCCCTCCCCTCCCCCACTGGTCTAGTGACCTATTGCTCAGACAGGAATGGTCTCTTTCAGGTTCTCTGGTCCTGACCTGTGGGATGAGGGTCATGGAGACTGCTTTGATCTTACGTGGTTTTCACAACTTTTTTTCCGACCACATGTAGGACAGTTGAAATTAGGCAATACTTGGTAGATGATTATCACATAGATAAGTAGCTCCTGAGTAAGGAAAAACCCAACTGTTGTTAATGATCAATTATTGCTTTTACCAGGCTCATGCAACATTTACTAGTTATATAGTGTATATATACAATATAATTCAGTAGCTTTCGGGTTTTTGTGAGGTTAAGTTTTTGTATAAGGAACACATACCTGTCCTCTCTGACTAGTGTAGTACAGACTTAGAGCCAAATTCACCCCAAAATTAACTTGCAATCCTCTGAGGCACTAGATATGAGTTTCTTAAGCCAGTATGTCCCTGGCAAAATGTACTTTAAGAGAGTGGTATATTTTCCAACAATTTAAATCATGTTTTGATTTTCTGTCCTTATGTGTATCAGCAATAATTAACAACTAGTGACACATATGTAAAACTTGAATTCAAAAAAGTTGAACTGAAAAAAAAGCAAGCAAACGTTCTCCAAGTCCAGCCCTATAATTAAACTCTGTGTTTCAAAATGTTGTGACACAGTTGTCTTAAGGGAGAAAAAAATGAGGTTTGCTTCATTACATTTGAGATAATTTTCTGGTGTTAGTTGTAGTCTTAACATAATTAGATTCATCTCTTGTATGAGTTAGATTCATAAGAGATATTTAATGAGAACCTTTAGGGAGAAAACCAGGTTTACTAGATACCATTTCTTATTTCTGTTCCATTGTATAAATAAGTTATGGTAGAAATTATCTTGTTTTATAGAGGAAGCAGGGCTTTGAGATCAACCTTTGTTAAGATTTAACTTTTCACCATTATTTTAATAACTTAAGAACTATAAATATTGGCAATGGAGAAATAACAGCTGATGTGTTTGGGATTAATCTTTTTTTGAAATGAATGCCAAAGTACATAAAAAACTAAGTGCAATAATTTCTTTTGACCGTCCTCTACCTAAACAGCCTATTTTCTGCTTTACCATGTGAAGTCTCATGAGTTTCAATAGTTATTATGTCAGAAAGGGTGCAAACACATTAACATGAAATATCCTTTTTGCAGCTCACTTAAATCTTCCTTTGTCTAAGAAAACATTTTAATAAGTGTATCATTTTATGAAACTTTAATACCCATCATGGATCAGACATAACATTAGGCTAAAATGTTATGTCGATTAATCTTCATAACAATTCTATGAAGTAGGCATCATTATTAATTCTCATTTTACTGTTGAAAATAAAGCTCAGTGACAAAGGCTAGCAAGGCCTTAGTTAATATATGGCAAATTTGAGTTGAAGCCCAGGCCTATCAGACCAGACACTAAGAAAACTTATCTAAGGAAATCATCTATAAGGACTTAGCACATTTTGAAATATAATTTGACTTAGCTAGAGTCCTCAAGTGATTTTAACACTGTGAAAGATATTTTCATGGAGTTCAATATCTCTGTTGCTGGTTGACTAATAGCATGTAAATTCTTCTAAGGTTCTGAGGGGTGTTGTGAAGTCGATTACTAAACTATGTTTCAAGTGGCAGACAGCTTTCCACAGTTTACATATTAGACTCACCAAATTTTAAGATTGAAAAATGGGATGGATGTGAATCTGGGGACTAGAATGAAGCATGAAATGGTGTTCCTTCATGGATCTGCTGAGAACCAAGAGGATTATCTGTGACAGTATCTAAATACTAAATTTGTTTGCTGACAAGTAAAGCTTATGAGAATCCATTTAGAAACAAGTAGGTTTTATTAAAAAAGGAGTTTAATACCAATTCAATATGTTTCAATAAAGTTTTTTGTGTCTATGCCATTTCACAGGTGTTTTTCCTAAATGCTTAGCCCTAAGAAACACATTAACATGTGTGCACACACATCAAACAAGCCAGCTTAACATTATGGCTTATAAAAAGGAAGCAATAATTTCACTCTTCAGAATTGCCTCACTTTTGCCTATGTCCAAGTCTCTAATCCCTCCTCCTCAAAGAGGAATTGCAATAAAGAGGATAAAGTGCAAAGTTTTCAATTGTTAACTTCCCATTTTGAACACTTACAGTAGATTATTCCAAAGCTCTTTTGTTACTTGCTTCCTCAAATGTAGAGGTTACTTGTTTTGCTTATTCCTTTTACTATAGTTCCAACCCACAGGACTGACTCAGCAATTGTAGAAGACAACTCAGTACTCCAGATTGAAATGCAAATCAAATAGGTCAGTGACTATTACTAGTTTAGAGTAAGCTAAGCTAATTCTCTTCTCAAATGGGAATAAAGGTTATGAACATTTATAAAAAGCTGGCATGTCGCATACATACTTTGCTAGGCATTTTAACTTGCCCAAAGTCATCGATTATAAAGGATAAGGTTGAATTTAAATTCAGGCGTGCTTGACTCTATAGCTCTTCTGTCACATTAGATCAACTACTGAAACTAATTTAAAAATGTTGTAGTCCTTTGCTGCTCTGCAGCTATAAAGCCATATAATATGCAAAAAAAAAACCCTACCTAGATTCATTTCAAAAAATATTTTATAATAGTGTGAAGTCATCTTGCAAGCCACTGACTGTACTTTCTCACTCTCTTCAGCTTTATTTCATTTTACTTTTAGCTACTACCATCCTTCTGTACAACAGACCATTTAACCTTTCACCTCATTTGAATGTGTGCTCTTACATATACATACTTTGGTTGAGTAGAGCAGGGTTGACCAGGGGTATGTATAGCAATGATGACTTATAGGCTAATAAAAAAATTACTAATATGTAATTTTAAGACTTATGTAAAGAGGCATTGTTATTAAAAGTTTGCTTTATTTTTCTGTTCACTGAGTCAAGTATAGTTACCAATTACAGATAGATTATTTTTATACCTTCCCAATGTTAGCACAGTTAGCATCAACAACCAAATAATAAGTCAAAGTAGGTCCCAGAGGCTATGTCCACATCTAGATTATTCAGGTGATCAGGAACGTTTTCATTTGTTTGCCTTAGCTTTCAGCTCTTGGTTATATCTATAAAGGAGACAGAAAGAAAAATAATCGTGAAATGCAACAGATAAATTTATAAAAAGAAGGGAATGGGGCGCATAATCCATCTCATCTTTCTCAATAGAGATGGTACTAGTAAATATCTCTTCAGAGGCTTAAAGAAACAGGCAGAAAGAAAAGTGAACAATGTATTTATTTGCGTTTGGTTCCAACTTACATGATATTTTCCTGTAGAAAGCCTTATTTTAATAAATATTTTCACTCCTAAACTATATAAGTGTACAGCTACCATGTGAACAGATATGTAAAATTTAGTAAAATATGGTCATTTAGAACTTTTTATTTCATACTCACAAAACATTTTTCCTGAGAACAAAATCAATTGGAAATGGAATTTTGTCTATCATCACTGAAAATAAATATACTTCTGTGATGCAGGCCAACTATTGGGTTAACAAATTATAAGCACTTACAAGTTTACTGCAGTGTAAATTGAAGTTTATTTCTCATTAATCCAGAGAAAAATTAGTCAAAGTCAGAGTCTCTCCCTAATACAACACCCCGTGTTTCATCTACTACTCTTCCCAGCTTATATGTGGAGAACAGTATAAGCACAAGAAGGAATTTATTCCATAAGGCCTACCTTCTAGATGTCTCAAAAGGCCATGAATTCAAATAGTTGATAGTGTTTTCCTAAATGCCCTACATAATCTAACATTCATACTTCTAAACAAATCTCCCAGTCTCTATTGTAACCAAAAGGTACAAAAATCCTTTTGTCAAACTATATCTGAATTTCTGATATTAGAAATAATAGCTTAGTATGTGGCACTTGGTGTTCTCTTAGCTCTACTGTCATAAATTAATAGAAGGTTAAAATATAATTCTGTAGGGCCCTCCCTGGTGGCAAAGCGGGTTAAAGCACAGCACTAAGAAGCTTAAGCCACTACCGCATGAGTTCAATTCCCGCCTGCTCCGGAGGAGATCCACATGGCGAGGCAGACCTCTCCTGACCCGCCCGCTGCTCCTCTCAGCAGTGTACTTCCTCGATCTGCCTGTTCTGCACCCCACCCTGTCTCTGGTGAATCCTCTCACCCTCCGCATCTCTGGCCTGTACCCCAGCTCTATATGAATAAATAAATAAATCTTTAAAAAAATATAATTCTGTAAAAGAAAATACTCTAAATAAAAATCATATACAAATAAAAGTTTATTTTAAGTAAATCCTAACAATGGTTGCTAGCATACTGTAGAATGAGTTATTTTCCCATTCATTATGTGCTAGGTGATTATGGAAGGATTAAGTTATTAAGGATTAAACTATAAAATGACTAGTACTACTAGCAAAGACAATGGCATTAAACTATACTGTACTCTGCATATCAGATTGCCTTCTGAAAGGAAGGCAAATTAGAACTCAGGATTTCCTATTTCATCATTGAGATCACTCAGTTATTTATAAGTTAAAAATAAAAGCTGTTGTTTATGTAATTGTTTTATAATTTAAGAAGGTTCTATAGTTCAAGCAAAACCAGATCCTTCCTCTAAGATGAGGGCTAAGTGTGACGTGCTAACCAGTCACTGTAACTACTGAATAAACAGTGACACGGAACACCTGCCAAGGAAACCAGCGCCTTCCTCTCAGTAACACTTCCAGTACTATGTGACCATACAATTAAGCCCCACTTTATTACATGAAACTGAAAGTGAGTGGTAAAAGGTACCTGTAAAAATCTATTTAATAAATCATAAATTTTACATGCCACCTTAGTTAAAACAATTCCACATTACACATACACTTAGATTTAAAGCCTTAGGTAACATTCTGCTTAAAACTAATAAAGCCACAGAATTTTTTAGAGAAGTTAAAGCTTTGCTTCAGGTACATCTCAATTTTAGTACTACATGTGAATCTTTAATTAAAACAAAAAATAAAGTACTGTGATCTAGGTGGTTTCTGAGGCAGATTTCTTTGTTTCCATCTTTTTAGTAGAGACTTACCTCCAAATACGAACAAGCTGAGAGGCTCCTGCTGCCCCAACAAAGAAATTAACAGCAAACAGACTCCAATTTTTTGGAATAATTACAAGAGAGTATCTTGACCAAATTAACCCTGTTGAAACAAATCATACATTTTTTTAAAAAAAGCATTACTGCTGCAGTATCTTATTACATAAATTGATGATAATATTTATTTAATTATTCTAAGTAGAATAATTTTAAGTAGGACTATGACAATATTGTGGGATAAAGAAACAATACTATCATCTGAGTCTTTAATAGTGTTACACAAAATAAAATACTCAGTTTTCACATCAAAGGGGAATTTTCTAAGTAAAATAAATGAATATTAACTGTAATTTTCCCCCTTACTTAGAAAAATATGTTCATGGCAAACTTGAAAAATGAATACCCATGCAAATACCATAATTACTCAGGGTAAACCTCTTCCATATCTGTTTTTATAATCTATTCAGTTCCTATAGGCAATACTGTTAATTCCTTTGTGAGTGTATATATTTCAAAAATTAAACTATTTTTAAAAAAGGATGTAAAATAAAACAAAAATATTGAATTTCCTATAAGGAACATGGAAGATACTCATTTAATTTACCTGTAGCCATCAAAACAGCAGATTGAGCTGTGCTGAGTTTTTCTGCAGGTCTGGCCATGTCAGCCAATCCGGCACACACTAACCCCTGGAAGTACACATTAACACATACAAAGGGGATGGGGGAAGCATCATGAGTGAGGGAGTAATGGTTTTTAACTTAAGTAGAGCACAAAATAATTCAGAGATTTCTACACGACAGGAGCTATAGTATTAGTATCTATGCATAAAGAAAATGTTTATTATGACAAACTGCTATGATGAGCTTAGGAATTTTTAAATTAGTTTATATTTTATAACCACATTAAGCATTCTCATGTATTTGGAAGTAAGTTATACACACAAAATACTTCTTACTTTTAAATATGAATTTATATCATTTTTACATATATTAGGATCATTTGTGGAATATGCCTGAAAAATATTTAAGGTATTTGTATGATTCCATCTTCATGTTTTTGTCAATGTTATTTTTTTAAGTGTAAGTATCAGAAAAGCTATTATAATTATAGTTTCTTAGTGAGACCATTTTCTTTACAGTCAAAGTATATTAGGTCATTTCTTTTTTGCTGTTTCTAGCATCTTTTATTGAATCACTCCACTAAAACCTAATACCGCCTTAATTCAAAAAATTCAGTAATGAACCTTCACTAGAATATTAGTTATGCTGTTTTATTGCAGAGATAAGACTATGTAATAAAATCACTTCTAATGGAAAATCCAAACCTGCACAAAGGGAGACCAACACAAAAAACCCTTACATATCTACCACAGAGTCATCAGTTATTGAGATTTTTCCATATTTTAACTTTCCCTCTTCTCCTTTTTTCTTTAGGTATTTTTTTTAAAGATTTATTTATTTGTGCATACAGAACTGGGGTACAGGCCAGAGGCTCAGAGGCGGTGAGAGGCTTCACCAGAGACAGAGTGGGGAACAGAACAGGCAGATCAACGCAGTACACTGCTGAGGGGAGCAGCGGGTGTGTTAGGAGAGGTCTGCCACGCCATGTGGTCACCTCCGGGGCAGGCGGGAATCGAACTCATGCGGAGGCGGCTTTAGATTCCCAGTGCTGTGCTTTAACCGGCTGCGCTACCAGGGAGGGCCCTTTCTTTAGGTATTTTAAAGCAAATCCTAAAAAGGCTATTAGAAAATTTGTTCTTAAGAAATAATTTTCAGGTTTTACTGAGTTTCTAAAAGATGCCTCTTGCATAGAAAATACAAACAACCAAAAGGTTTCACTCCTAAACAGAACAATATAATTATGAATTTATACACAAATTTATAGTAAGTCCAATGGTTTTGAATGAAGTCAACAGTTCAAGAAAGGAATGATTCTGGTTTTAAAAAGGGGCAAATGATTAAATACATGAGTAAAACGAGAGGTAAATAATGATTAATGCTAGTATTATTTTTGTGAATATGTACCCAGAGTCCTGTGGCTTTTCTTTCTAAATGCTTCCCAATCATTCTTCCTACACTCTCCATCTAGATTCCAATGTATATTTTCTATTTCAATTTGTTCTACTTCTGTTGCTGGGTGGAATACTGCCATTGTATAGGGGGAGACAGGGACTTACTCCTAATTATTATTCTACTGGGTCAACATATATTAATTATTCCATTGTGGCTTGTTGAATAGATCTATAAAGACTGTGGGTTATATTTCAGCAATTCCAAAATGTGTAGAGAGAGCAAAACCCTCAGTTTTAAATAATGAAATTAATTTATAAGTAGTTTCAGCTATAAAAGCAAATAGCTATCAAATAATCTTGAAATAGTTGTACTAATTTGTAAGAAGTGAAAACAGATGAACTCTATCAAATGGTACAGATTTCAACAGTTTAACAGACTAGTTTACACAAAAAGACAATGAACACAATCTCCTTTAACTGACCTGTATACATAGATTCCCTAAATTGGCCAGTGTTTTCCACTCACCTATAAATAAGCTAATAGATGCCCATGGCCAATTGCTCATGGCTAGTGGGTTATCCTCTATATACTCATGCATTTTTGATCCCAGCAGTTGAATAACATTTTTATCAAGTCACTGTCCACAAACCTGTTTATACTTGTTAATTCAGTTAACATAATTTAACGAACTATAAGGTAAAAATAAAATAAAAACAAAGAAATGGTTGTTGCTTTTGTGGCAAGTGAATGCTTTGGAAAGACTGAATATATAACTGCTATAAAATAGATTGGGGAGGGAGAAGCCATAAAAATCTAGCAGATTTCTGTTTTAATACCCATAAAAATGTCTATGAATTACTCTGCTTTAAAGAAAACTAAACTGAAAATTATACAGTACATACTATAATATAATTTATCTAAGATGGAATATACAGAACTCAAAATTTTATATCAACACAAAATCTTCAGCCTAGCAATGGATGATTGGCTGATGAATTTACAGTTTTAAGTTAAAATATTTAAGATATGTAAGGATTGATTTTTAGAATTATCTACTTTGACTTTTAGGATTACTTCGTTTCAACTAAAGTACTTAACAAGAGACTCTACCATAGTTAAATGTCTGAAGAAGTATAGTTTGAAATTTTGTCATTAAAATTTACTTTAATGGATCTTAAAATAAGTGACAGAATTTTTGCCAAGTTATTCTCATTAAAAGTACTGATTTTAAAAATAACTTAAAAGCTGACACGTACAATAGCCACAAATGGAATGGTTCATAAAACACTCTCCTTTCCTTCTGAACATTTTATGATGCATTATTATCATTAACCAATCTTTTACTATGATTTAGAGGCCAACTGAGAAACATGGTTCTGATACAGTTCTTTCACAACTGAGTAAGACTGGGGAGAGGATATCGTAAGGGGCTAATCACTGGGACTAGTCATTGACGCTTCTGAGTTTTCCGGGGAGAGACATGGAGACCTTGCTAGCTCCAGTTGCCTTCCTGTCTGCTTTGATGATAAGCAGAGCAACCATCTGTCTCATGTCACAAACAACAAAATGGCCAAGAGGAGTAATGTCGCAGAAATCCTCAACACACATGGGTTTGCCAGAGACCAACAGTGGCAACATCAAGTTTCATGAATTTGGTGTCATCTTCCAGCTTCTTTTTCTCAGAACAACAATCTTCTTCAGCTCAGCAAACCTTCAAGTAATCTGAGTTGTGTGACAACCCAGCACAGGTGCATATTCAGCAGTGATCTGGCCAGAATGGCCAGAATAATCACCTGGGCTCCTTCCACTGGTAGGTCACTATTACTATCACCAGTCATACTGCCAAGGTGAACATTACTGACAGATATCTTCTTGATACCAAGGTTCACCTTGCCACTACCAAGAGTTTCATTCAAAGCTTCAGGGTACATTTCAACATAACTTACTTCAGATGTCATGTGACTGGAGTAAAGGTGACTACTATGCTGGGTTTGAGAACACCAGCATCAACTTAGTCCACTGTGATTGTACCAATACCATCAGTTTTGTAGATATCTGGGATGGGCAAGGGCTTGTCAGTTGGATGAGCTGGTGGTACAATGCAATCCAGACCCTCAAGCAGTATGGTTCTACTAACATTGCCATCTTTACAGGGGACTTTCCATCCTTTGAAACATGGCATGTTAAGACTTGACTTCAGTATGCTGTCACTATTCCAATTAGCAACTGGCACATTTTCTACTGTGTTAATGTTGTAGCCAACATTAGGTGCTAACTTTCTTAATGATTTCCTTATATATATAAGGAATTGATTGCATATATATATATTTTTTATATCTAGATATCTATCTATATCTATCAATATATATAAATTCAAGTTACTGAACTTCATTTTCTTAGTTTCAGATGAGTTAAGCTGTGACGGGGCCTAAAATTTTGCATTTCTAACATGGCCGAGGGTAGCATAAGTGCTGCAGATCTAAGAGCTGCACTTTGAGATGCACAACTATAAGCCAAACTGGAATTGTCAAAATAAAATCAATGACTTGCTACAAGACAGCCACCACAATTACTTCTTGCCAGCTAAGTGAGAACATTAGAAATGCAAAACTGGCATACAGTAAAAGTGTTGGTCTTGGTGTCAGAAGTCCTTAATTGTCATTTACCAAATGTTACATGTACCATCGGTTAAACTTTATTTTTTATGACTAACTTACCTTGCCTCTATTTTAGTGTTAGTATCTTCAGCTCTCACATTCACAATAAAAGTTAATTTGGTTTTCTTTTTTAAACAACTTAGTCACAAAGTTTTAGAATGAAAGCTTTATGTTCCTAGAGCCCACAACTGTGAGATTTTTGATAACAAGTATGTTCTCAGAGAACATCTTATATAAGGAAAAGCTAAAGATACATCTGAAAACACTTGCATGAAATCATTTAGAGGCATGCATGCCAAGGATATTTAAAAGTACATTCTTCATAAAAGTTACTTCAAATACATTTCTACTAAAGAACACTTTTTTCTATAACTCCTGTAAAGCTTTAAGACTTACCCATTTCATAACTGGAGCCCAGAAAAAAACTGTTCTGGGACCTGAAATTTAAAAAGAAAAATTAAGGTTTTACTTACTACTCCACACATGTCTTTTAAGTTATCACTGTATTTCAAAAATTTCCAAACTTATCAATCTAGTTCTAATTATTTTTATGGTACTTTCTATTTCTTTGTATTTAACTTTTAGAGTCAATAGGGTAACAATCTTTCAAACAAGCTGTTTTGATCTTGTCAATTATATTGGTACCTGTTAAAAATAGCAAAAGTACAACAGAAATGGTGTTGGAAACCACTTTTAAATTTGTAAGTTAGTATTAGATCACTACTGAATAACCTTCAAGTTGGGAAAATTACAAATTATAGAATTTTTATGGTCAAGCTACCATAGATATTTACATATTCACTAATTCAATTAATATTTATTACATATGCTTCCTAGCTCTTGTAAAAATTCCATATGTTCTAGTATAAAATTAATGAACCTAACTTTCAAGTTCATATGAGAAAAAGAAAAGCTCCTAGTTTTGAAAGTGCCTCAATAGCAGGAGTTATACTGGCACATGTCTGCTTTCTGAAAAATGTTACCTTAAGTGTTTAAAAGTACCAGAGGAAAGTCTGGCTTTTGAGATAACCCCAAATTTGAGAAGCATATTTCTAAATTGGAAGGAAATTCAGAGGTCATCAAATCTAAATCCTTCATTTCACCAGTGAGCTCAGAAAGTTTTTTGACTACTCAAGTCACACAACTAGGAAGCAGCAGAATTATGACTGGACCCTGTGTCTTCTAACTCTTAAATTAGTGCTCTTTAACTACATACCTCCACTCAAAATGTTTAACTCTTCCAAATCATCCATATCTTTTAAACTTCAAGGGAATACAATGAGAAAAAGAAACATTCTGTTTATGCTAAATTCAATATAATCAGAACACTTAAAGTGATGATTATATTCTCACCCACTAGGTAAACAAAATACATTTATATCTTAAGACAAACTTTATTTATATAAGTTATTTATATAAGACAACAGTGATCTACTAGCAAGTTTAAAATATTCTATTATATATTCATGACTATTGCTCTTTGGTGCTGTATTTTACTTTATAAGAATAAAACAATTTGTCTTTTTGGATCATAAACACATTATTATGCAAGTATATCATATTTTCTTCTCTTAACTTATTCCCAATTACTATTTTACAACTAGCACTAGTAGGTAAAGATTCATTTTTCCATACATGACACCCCAGCAAGTGAGCACTCACTGTCATTAATAAGTAGGATTATTTTTATTCCACATGTGTAGAAATAACATTTTAAAGATCAAACTGACTTTAACCTGTGATTTGGAAACAAAGGAAGATTAACTTGAAAAAACACCCAGTTGTAGTTATGGAACTAATTTACTGTAGACAAGATCATTCATTCATACGTCCATAATAATTACTGCATTTTTACAGTCTACCAGCCTCTGGGGATATATTGAGAAATAAAATGCAGTGTTCTTTTTTTAATGACTCAAGAACAGGTAGGCTGTATAAGTAAAATCATATCTGAAGGTTGGATAAAAGTATTTTAGAGAAACTTTAAATTCTAAAAAACTTTCATAAAATGCACACTATTTTCATTCTAAGGCTGTACTATCAACCCACAGTGAAAATGAACCCAGTGATAATTCCTTTTTAGGCAATGTCTGGCTCACTTACTACTAAAAATAAGTTGGTCAGTTTTTACATTAAGAGGAGAAACTGAAAAATGTAAAAATGGCAACTTTTGCTTAGTAGTAGTTCTGGGAAAGTGTCACAGAGTATAAACTATTGTGTCTTTAACATAATTAATTGATGGCAGTTATATATTTCAGACTATTCTTTCACAATTTATTTCTGGTATTTTTTTTTAACTCTCCCCATTAATTCACATTGTCCTTACAGTTAAAATTCATTAACTCAGTGTGTTTTTAACAAATGGGGTTTAAAATCTACCAATGTACTTTAAATATTCTACGTTGGTTAATTATGTATCTACTTACCTATCAAGATTATAACTTTCTTGGGCTAGTGGCTAAATAGTATTCATACTTGTACCACTACCACCTAATAGATGTTAAACAAAAAGGAGAGTTAGCACAGTTGGAAGCAGTATATATTAAGTGTAGTTTATAGACTTTATATGTATATATACATATATGTGTACACACCTATGCAAACAGCAGAAAAATTCTTTAACATCTTAAGTTATTTTCATCAGCCTGACTATTCATGTCTGGCTTATACTTTTACGTGTTTTTAATTAAGTTTGATGATTTCGTAGAATATTTCCACCTAATACTAAAGTCCTGCAATCTAAGTCTTATCTCCTCAATCTTCAAAGTTTCTGGATACCATCTTCAGACTACTAATTCTTCAAACACTATAAGATCATGTCACAATCCCTATCTTCCCTTGTGAGCCAAAACAGTAATTATGCTAAATTTCATTTTCTCCCATATATGTGATAGTTATGTTGCTGTTTTCCAACATATCTTCAGGCTGTCCATATTTTAAGTTGTAGAAGGAATCTAGAGACAGTATGGAAATGGCTGCAGGGAGAAGCAAGACAATTGGTTTTGCTTAAAAATTCTAAATTTGATCTTATAATTGAGTTGAGTAAAAATGGATCTCTATTTAATGTTTGAGTTATTGTCCTTATCTTTTATCTTGCTCCTAAACATCATATTGTTCTAATCACAGCCACCATTATACCTACAACTCTAGCTACAAATGATCACCTCCTCTTCCATATCTTTAACAATAAGATATGGAAACCATTTTCTTTGGTTAAGACTAGACTGGAAATCCAAAGGAAATTGTTTATAAGCAACTAAAGATATAGAAAACTGAAATTAAGGCACTAAGTTTCAGAATATAAAATTTGAATCCTCATTTAGTTAAATTAAGCCCAGATTACTGGTTCACAACCAGGGGTGAATTTACGCCACAACATCTGCTGAATGAGAAATTTTTAGCTGCCATAACTGCGTGGCAGGGCTGCTACTATTACTGACATCTCCTGGACAGAGGCCAGGCTTGCCATTAAACATCCGACAGAGCACAGGACAATCCTCCATAACAAACAACTGTCCAGCCCCCCAAATGTCAACAGTGCAGAGTTAAGAAACCCCAGCTTAGGAGGGCTGACAAAGTAGGCAAATATATGAGTTTCATGCTTTTTATGTCTTTAAGTCTTAGTCCATGTTGTTCTAGCCTAAAAACCTGCCTTTTCTTTATTTAATTTCTAATATCCTTCAAAAACTTACCTTAGGCTTCATCTTCTTAAAGAAGCCTTCCTCAACATCTCTAGGTCAGAGTAAGTGCACTGTCTCTGAACTTCCATTGCTGCCTGCATATTCTACTGTTTTCTGCACTTAATAACTACATGATCTATTTATGTATCTGTCCCTGTAACTAGGCAAGGTATTAAAGATAAGTGTTGTTTTTAATTTTCCTTGTAAATAACAAGTATGTGTGATTACAGCCGATTTAGATTTAACCTTGTCCAGTTCAGATGCTAATCAAAGATACTAAAACTTTAGGTCTGACCTAGATTTGCCTTAACATTGCTTCATTCTCGAGGCTAGATTTTGCTATTTACTCTTTTCCAGGGAAAATGGTTTCCCTTTGCATCAGGGTTCCAATAGACTTTTACTCTACTCTCAGCCCAATGCATATTTGATTCCTGATGCTATTAAATTCACTGGTCTAATAATTCAATTTTTAAAAAGATTTATTTATTTATGTGTACAAGAACTGGGGTACAGGCCAGAGACATGGTGGATGAGAGGAGTCACCAGAGACAGAGTAGGGAGCAGAACAGGCAGATCTACTGAATACACTGTTAAGGGGAGCAGCAGGAGGGTCAGGTGAGGTCTGCCACTCCCAATAATTAAATTTTTTCAAATGCCTTGTCTATTTTACTTAGCTTGAGCCTTTGAGATTCTATCATCACGTGGTTCATTTTTTTTCCCTCACACAAAGCCTCTGGTCATCTCAGTATTCATTGCTAAATCTATTTTTTATTCTTACATAAAGTTTGGCATCACCACCCCCCAAGGGTAAGTCAGCACATTGTTTTAGCTCTTGCTCTGAACTCAGCAGACTACTCTGTTACTGCTTCAAAAGTGATGTTCCTTTTTGTCACCTCCCACAAATTGCTTCTTGAGCAGTACCTGTAGGGTCCTGCTTTCTTTATGAACAGTCAAGTTTTTCAGTAGGCTTGTCTGGTGGCTAATCTACTCAACTGTCTAGAGAAAAGTGATAGTTTTGAAATATTAACTGCCTCTTCTTCCCTAACCAAACCAAGCAAACTTCAAATATGAATTAAATTACTAGAAACTAGCCCAAGAAAGGTATACATAATTTAGTTTTTAAATAAGTTTAAACACAAACTCTAAGTGAATATAACAACTGCTAAGTACTGAAGTTAAAAATAACAGTAACAAATATAAATTGCAAGACATTTTAAATTTCTGATTTTACTGCTCTATAAAAGGATGTGGCCAAGTGACACAAATAAGAGTTGGACAGCAATAAATGCAAAAAAGTAGTGCTTTTTCAGTTAAAGAAAAAAAAAGAAAAAATGGCTACCAATGCCCACGATCATACAATGGGTTAATAAAACAGTTTAAAGGGAACTTACTTTAATTCACCCTTCCACTTTATCTGAGCTAATCATTTCCTGCATTAAGAATAGATAAATCAAATACATTTGGACAGATATCAGTTTAGGTACAGAGGCTGTTTTCCTGATGAGGAAATATTTTGATCGATTTCAACATTTCTAAAAACAAAGCATTTGGAACTAGGTATCACACAGTGATAGCACAATGTTACATTAAATCTTTTTATAGGGGGGAACAAGTTTATGCTCTATAGATAATCACATAGCTATTCTTAAAAGAGCAATAAAAATGAAGTCATTAAATAATTATGATACCTGAAGTGATTATAATATCTTAAAATTAAGATAAGCAGAAATAAAAACAAAGTATCTGGATAACATTTATTATAACCAAAGGAAAAACCTGATAGGTAGACAGTTTGAACTGCTGAGAAGATAGCTATAAAGATCACCTCAAGAAATTTAATTTGGAGTTCCAGGTGGGGGAAATAAGCCCCTGTCAGATATAAAAGTACAGTGTTTTAAACAAAGAATTAATTAACAATTAACATATTTTAATTTTTTTTTCTTGAAAGTTGAAAAAGGTCTCAAATGTTGACAATTTAAATAAAAGTATTTTAATGGTTTAAAAAAATGAGGAAAAGAAACACATCTTTGATGATTTCTGAAAGTTATGCTTTCAGGTTATATGCACATTGCCAACAACTCTCATGAGAAATGACAAAGAAGTAAAGTCTGAAAACATAAAACAAAGAAGTCTGAAAACATAAAACTAAGAGATATTAAACAAGTATTCAAAAAATAAATATCTATTTATTGGAGGATTGTTACAGATTTGTCTTATTTTGAAAGTATTATTAAAAGTTCAAGCTTTCACATTTTCAAAATTTGAGAAATTCTACAAGGGAATGTCATAATCAAATATGTAACAGAAATACATTTTGAAATGAATTAACAAATCCAGATGCCTTGATGAATCTTGATAAATCTGTTGATAAAATGACACAAATTTACTTCCTAACTTCCTTATCCAAGAGGAATTTAATATAATGCACTATTACAGCCTCTAAAAGTATGTCATTTATTTTAGGTGCTCTTCTTTATCTAGAGAAAGATTTTCTTATTGGAACACAATAAATTACTTTAAACACATGCAAACATACACGCATTACAAACACCCAAGTGAGGTATTCATTATGTCCCAGAGTAAAACATAAAGTTTCTTATTTGTAGTCTGACTTAACCAAAAGACAGTTTTATTTATATTTTTATTACTTTATTAAAAATAAATTGTTTGGCTATAGCTGACATAAAACATATTAGCTTAGTAACAATTTTTTTAAGACTTATTTATTTATGCATACAGAACTGGGGTACAGGCCAGAGGTTCAGGGGCAGTGAGACGATTCACCAGAGACAGAGTGGGGAGCAGCAGGGTGAAACAGTCTAGGTTTGCAGTGCCATGTGGGCCACCTCTGGAGCCAGGGATCTAACTAGAGCTGAAGCAGCTGCAGCTAGCTTACAATGCTGCGTCCTAACCCGTTGCGCCACCAGGCAGGGCCCAATAATCTTTTTTCTTGTGATGAGAACTTTTAAGACCTCTCTTAGAAGCTTTCACATATACAAAACAAAACAATATTCTAACTATAGTCATCATGTTGTACACTGCATCCTCCAAAATTATTTATCTTATAATTGGAAATTTGTAGTTTTGATCATCTCCTAGAATAGTTTTTAGATTCCTTAGAGTTCTGAACTTCTTTGGAACACATACCCCTACCAGTTAAAAAAAAAAAAAAAATGCAGGCCCTCCCTGGTGGCCAACAGGTTAGGAGGCAAGCTAGCCGCAGCCACTTCAGTGCAAGTTGGATCCCCAGCCTCGGGGGTGAGCCACATGGTCCAGTAGATCTCGCCTGTCTCCCAGCTGCTCCCCTCAGCAGTGTACTTTGTTGATTTGCCTATTCTGCTACCTACCCTGTCTCTGGTGAAGTCTTTCACCAACTCTGGCCTATATCCCACTTCTGTATGCATAATCAATCTTTTTTTAAAAAAATGCCATATATATTTTAATAAACTATATATGTACATAATTATATACACAGATGCCACAAAATTCAGTGTGTATGTATATATTCTGATATAGATATACTTGATTTATACAGCTTCATTAACATTTTTATATTAAAAGGTAAACACACGGAACATTAAAAAGATTAAATAATAGCAAACATTAATAGAAGTTCAACTGTTTTCTCCCTTCATTGCAATGTCTAATTTTGTGTACACCTTAGGATGATTAACCTCAGTTTGGAACTCATAAATAGAAAGGAATGACACGCCTCTGCTAAGAATGTTTTTATCCAACTAAGCTTTTAAGTAAACATTAGGTAGCATGACTTCAAGGTTATTTCTCTGACAAATACCTAGAGTGCAGGCTCTGCAGCTGGTTAATATGGAGCCATATATTTTTATAGTCAGGAAGTTGGTGGCGGTAGGGGTGTGGAGTCGTATCCCTTACAAGAATTGGACTTGCTCGTGTACCCACTTAGCATTTTACAGAGGTAGATCATGTGTGAAGAACACCTAAATAACTGGATGATAAAGGTCAGAGGTCTAACTATAGTACACACATTACTTTAATACAATAATATGCCATCTATATGAAGACATGTTCTTGTTACCTGTCTAGACGTACTTGTCAGTGATAAAATTAAATCTCAAAAATTATAATTATCAATGTAGAATATGTAATGATTAAAATCCTGGTCTTAAACATCACTGTAAAAATCTCTATTACGTTCATTGTTTAAATCACAATCCAATAATATACTTTAATGAAAAACACTATATAAATCCTTGAATATTCTCTCTGGGTACTCTTGGAATAACCACTGTTTCCTCAGATTTTATTCAATATTAGTAAATTAACAGTTACATCTTCATGCTTCTCCATTTCTATATCTGTGTGTGCCTACAACTTTTTAATCACAAATAACTTTGTAGTGATAGGTGTTCTTACTCTGCATATTGACTAAAAGCTTACATGGAAGGGAACTAAACTTTCTGTTGAGAGTCTTGATAAAAACACTCTGCTACATGTTTTACAGACGTTATATCATTTAATTTTCAAAACAAGCTTTAAATGATGACAATTATCTCCACTTATAGAGTGACTAATTAAGGCTTAGGAGATTTAAGGTTAAGATCAGTCTGCCAAGTCTTGACCTTAGTTCTCTTTGGCTTCAAGCCTACATCCCTTCCCCTAAACTGAAAAATGACTTAAAATAACTATTCCAAGAATATCCAGTTGGAATGCAAGGTAACTCCTTTATTGTGAAAGTTGAATATAAGCAGTAATTATAGATGGTAAAGCCAAGGGCATGGAAAAGATCACTGTAAAACCACCATCACCTTTTGCAATAGCATAGTTTAAATGTACTCTTCTATCTGCCCTTATACTATAGATCAAACACAAAACTTAAGAAGGTCAGAGTTGACTTCACAGGATTCAGCTAACTCTAAATTTCAGCTCATTGCAGCACTGCCCAACCCTCCTCCCTCCTGAAAAACGTTGCCATAAAATACAACTCCAAAAAAATTGAGTGTTGAATTAAAAGGTAAACTAAATAAATATCTGTCAAAAACCTGTCACCAGAGATCAGTTTTATAAGGGGCACGATAGTGCAGTAAATTATATCATACTCAAGTACAATCTCAAAAGACAGTCCATTCTATTCCATTTTCAGATTTCCATTTGAATCAGATTTAGGAATGGGTTCAGACTTCAGAGAGCTGCTTCACAGTTAGTTAAGTGGGGAGCGAGGCAACCAACCTTCCTAATGACACTACCAGCAGAGATCTATTTGACAATGTAGACTGATTAATCACTTTTTGGGTTGCACTTCAGTCTTTCAATTTATAACAAATTTCTCTTTTGCTAAATCAGGCTTGAAAGAAATCTCAGTTAAGTAAGTATTAGAGCCCATTTTTATAAAGCAGTAACTGAATTCTAGATCTTTAAGCTCTTCAGGTTTCTTAAAGAATTATTTTTTTAAGTCATAAAAGCATTGTTTTCAGTAGGACAAAGAGAGCACTAACATTTACTGAGCATCTACAAAGAATCAAGCATGCAAGTTATCCTTAATTCTTCACATGGACCACATTTTACAGAAGCGAAGAGATTTAGAATTTCTCCCAAGGTCACACCTATAGTTAAGAGGCAGAGCTGGATGAACTCCAAGGCTGGCCACATGAAAAAGTGAAGAGAGCTGTTCTGTAATTTCATATGTAAGAGTAGAGTTAAGATACAGACTAGACCTGTGAACGGCGGACTGCCAGAGATTCTGAAACCGGTAGCACATCTGCAGGTTTATAGCGGCGGCGCTGACAGAAGTGTGACCTTTACTTCAAACCCTCAATGCACCAGGCACCTATCTAGCTCAGCTCTCGGTGCATCAACACACCACCACTCCGGGAGGGCAAGAGGGGAAAAGGAGGGTTTCCTAGGGGACCAGACCCTTTCGTGGCCACAGAATGGTGAAAAATCAAGCCCAGAGGTTGGACCCATGTTGAGTAGTGCATAAGGGATAGGGTGCAACAAAGGTCGCATAGGGCGCTGACTCCTGAATCACGGGTTGATGAGAGATGCTGTATTTTAGCAAGTGAAAAGCAGAGAGGATGAGCGTTTAGGCGACTCAAAGGGGAAAAGGCTGGGTCTGTGCGTGATGCCTCCAGCGGTAGAGTTGTCAACCGATCGCTAAAGCTCTATTTAAAAGGAAGGAGGGTGGTGGGGGGAACGGAAGGTGTCGGTGGGAACCGGTCCGGGTCTATTACCTGCCGGGTGGTTGTACAAAGGCCTGAATTTCTCTGGTAGCAGGAGCTCCACTTTATCTAGAACCCGGTGGTAGGTGGCCCTGAGGCCTCGGGCGCCGGCTGCTGACATCTTCGAGAGGAGAGTTCGTGGACACCCGAGTTGGGAGAGTGGCCGTGTCCTTGTCCCTGGTTGACAACGAAGAGCAGCTCGTCACTTTCCCCAGCGACAGCGCCTCGCGTCCTCCTCTCCCTTAGGGTGCCCTTCCCGCGGCTCAGCCTGCCCCCTGCGAACCGCCCAAGGGCCCGGGGGTGGTGGCGGGAGGAGGGAGAGGGTTGAGGGGCGGAGGCTCTGCGACGCCCCGCCCCGGGCCCACCCTCCAGCCCTCCCGCCGCGAGAGTAAGGAGGAGTCATGGCAACAGGTGCCAAAAAGATTGCCTCACCTAGTCGACCCCGCCAAGCCTAGCGGCAGCGCGCTTGCGCAACGGGAGCTGCCCACGGCGACTGGCCGGCATGCAGCGTGGGCGGGGCCCAGCACGGACATCTAACTTCTCCTTCCTGCCCTCGAGGCCATGTTGGAAAAGGGAAAGTGAAGCTGCACCGGCTCCAATCCTCTTTCACTCCGCTTAAGGAGGCCCGCAGTTAAAATGGGCTTTTCGGGCCTTCCGTGCCCCCACTAAAGATGAAGTCGCGCGGCGCTCTTGCTTCCTCTGGAATGAGACTCGGGAGCGAGAGGCTTCAGACCTCACCTTCTTCTCCCACTACTCCTCTTTTACCCAGGGAGATTTCAGGATTTAGCTAACGGGGTCTGAGGCCCCTTTTTCAGGGTGAGGGCAGCTGTGGCGCTCGCCGGCCTCAGGCCCCGGGGTGGTCGTCATCTCGCGAGAAAGGCTCGGAAGGGCGGGTATCGAAAAGGAGGAGTGGGAGGAGTCGCAGTCCTCCTCCTCCTCTCGTAGGAGGAGGGGGTGAGGGAGGGACTGTTGCTGATTTCTGGATGTTCAGGGTAGTCTGAGAAGGAGAGTATGGGGCGAGCTCCAGCCCGGGTGCGGCCGGGCTTCGGGGCCCAAGGCGCAGCAGCCGCCGCTGTCTGACTCGCGCCTGCGAGGCCCAGCGCGCGGATGGTGCCAGGGCGGCTCGAGTGTTGATCCGTGTGTCCCTTCCCCCTCCTCCCCTCCCCCACGCAGTGGTCTCCCCTCTTACCCCGGCCGGGCAGAGCCATGTCTCGGGGTGGCTCCTGCCCACACCTGTTGTGGGACGTGAGGAAAAGGTCCCTCGGGCTGGAGGACCCGTCCCGGCTGCGGAGCCGCTACCTGGGTGAGCCGGGGCCCCGGGGCGGAGGCGCTGAGGTCGCCGCCCTGAGGTGGGGGAGGGGGCCACGCCGCGGGGGCTGTTGGAGGTGGGACAGCTTTGGGGTCGAGTGCTAGTGAGCCTCCCGGGTGCTGGGTGCGCCTGGACTGACAGATCCCACGGCCAAGCTTTTGCATGCAGGCAGCCGCCGCCCTTGCTGGGTTTTCCTCGGGGGACCAGGTCGGGGGCAGACGGTTTGGCTCAGGCAGGTGTTGGGGTGGTTTTTGGAGTAGGACTCGGAGAATACTTGGCGAACCCCACGAAGCTGCTTCATTTGGGGGAAAAGTTGGCGCTTTTGCGCTTCTCCAACGCTCTCACCGCTTAGCTGACGGACCTAAGTTTTTGTTGACAATCACCGCCCCCAACCCCCATCTCTGGAGATTTGGGTGTCAGTGGCGAATTGTTGACCAGCCTCGGGGACTTCACGCTCCAAACGGACTCGGAATAAACTGTTGTGTGGCTCGGATCCCGAACCTAAACCTGAAAGTGCGAGCCGAGCCCTCCCTACCCCCCGCGCGCTTCCCCGGCTCTGCTGTGCTCTTCAGTTGGTTTTGACGCTTTCTGGAGGTGTAGGGTTTCACGTTCCTATTCCCACCCCTGTAAAACATACTTGGCATTTACTGTTTCTTAGTTTAGCTTTCTAAAAACAACCTTCAATACTTGAGGGAACAGTATTCCACTTTTTTTCGTTTGGGATAAAGTGGCTTTTTGAGGATTCTGGGTCACGCCGGAGCTAACTTACAAAGCCCAACTTCTTAAAAGTGGACGTGGTTAGGTCGTTCTTGTTTCTTCCTGTGCACGTTCGTCATTATTCTTTTTCATTTGAAGGTGCGACAACATAATGCAATCTATTTTTTCTTAACAATATTGCCACTTTCTGCGAGGTAAGTATTTGTCGATGCCATTTGATTTTGACTTCAAGCAAATAAAAATGAAAGCTTGTTACACCTGACAATTCTGGTTTGTAAATTGTTTGAGAGAAGTTAGCAAACATTTTCTCCCCTTGCGCGCGCTCTCTTTTTTTAAAGTTACATTCTCCTTGTAAAAATTTAATAAACATTAAGCAAAAATCCAGTGATCCCGTCCATTCTGATTTCACACACAAGCCTGTAGAGGTAATAATGTTTCCTCAATATCCTTTCAGACTTTTTCTTCGCACTCTTACAAGTACATCTGTTTATATATAGAAATGCTATACTGTGTGAGTGTTCATATGTGTGAGAGAGACATGCATATTTTGTCTCATACTGTGAACATTGTTTTACAATATGCTTTTTCTACATTAGTTGTACGGGATCTTTCCATGTCAATAAAACCACGTTTAGATGGTCTTAATTGTGTAGTGTTTTATAGCGTGAAGTTACCATAATGTAGCAACCGCTTCTTGTTCCGAACAGTACGGTAGTGAGTATCTTTGTCCTTTCCTTTTGGGCATTTGTTCCAGGATAAGTATCTAGAATGGTCATTAAGATCATTAATTGTTTTATAATTAAACATCAGTAGTGAGTACTTTTATAAACCATTAACTTAAAAAGATCCACAGTATTTCTTCCAGTTACTTGCTGAGAAAAAAACTTAGGTTTATAAAATGAACTTTAACACTGTTCTGCATGAATGAACTTATAATTTGGCCCTTTATCTCAATTAGGTGAACATTGTAAGTACTTAATGTGCATTAATTTTACTTGTAATTGAGTCAATAGAAATGTAATAAAACTGTTAATTTTCTTTTTCTCTTCCTACTCTAACTGCTTAATTGCAGTACAGTTTGTTTGTTGGATAGAAGGGAATTAAAGAATAAGATTTCACTTACTTTAGCAGAAAGTCTAAATTATAAACATACATGTACATATACCAGGTATATACATATATTTGAAATATATATATACACACATATACATATAGTGTGTGTGTGTATATATATTTGTTAAAAATGGAAGTGTGTTAATATACTTAATAGCTAGCACTTTCTTCGAACACCTTCCTTTAAAAGTGGCTTTCTAAGTATTTAGAAATGACTTATCAAGTAGATTCTTGACCTTATAGACCTGTTACATCATTAGTGTAAATTAAATCTTCCACACTACAGTGGCTTAGCATCCAGAAAACAGTAAACTCTACATTAGTAGTGTTCTGAATTAATGAATGAGATTGATATTTTGAAATATTCTTATCAAATCTTCCTTTAAAAAAGTCCAATCTAGGGCCCTCCCTGGTGGCGCAGCGGGTTAAAGCACAGCACTAAGAAGCTTAAGCCAATTCAACATAAGTTCGATCCCCGCCTGCCCCAGAGGCGACCACATGGCGTGGCAGACCTCTCCTGACCCGCCCGCTGCTCCCCTCAGCAGTGTGCTTCCTCCATCTGCCTGTTCTGCTCCCTACTCTGTTCCTGGTGAATCCTCTCACCCTCCGCATCTCTGGCCTGTACCCCAGTTCTGTATGAATAAATAAATCTTTAAAAAAAAAAAAAGTCCAATCTAAGGGTTTCAGAAACTGGATTTTTTTGAGATTTCAGTATTTAAATGCTTATTATTGTTTACCTGCAGTATTGTAAATTAAATATAATTTATTTCCACTATTTGTATTTCTAGTAATGAATTATTACTAAATAAGAGTAAAATTGTGGTAGAATAAATTGATAGACTCCTGAACATTACATTTCAAATTATTTCAACTTAGCACATATCTTTTCAGTAGAAGTGTGTAAGCTTTGTAGTTGATTTTATTTAAATTTGATTACCACTTTTCCTCCCATCAGGAAAGCTACAGTTCACAAAACATCCTTTTGTATTATGAGAATGAGGCTAAATTGTCATGATTTTTAGGAGGAAAAGAAGTATGTATATACTTATAGCCTCCAGTTTTACAGGATTCACCTGAACCAGTAGAATTTTGATTTGAACTAGCGTGAATTCAGAAACCAGGTCACGATTGTAATCTTTATGAGCCTGATGTAAAATTTTGTGTAGGGTTATTTTTTTAGAGAGTAATTGTCCAAGTGTAAAGTCACACCTATCCATTTAAATGTTTCATTGTCACAAGATACTATGTACTAGCGATAATACTGGGAATTCAGTGATTGTATGATAACCTATTCCCATTATACACATACACACAAGTTTATAAACATATACACAGTTTTATAAAGATATAGAAACTAATTTCTGTACATGTCTTATTGTTTTTCATACATTTAAACAGATTTATCTAAACTTAAATTTACATTTTCTAATCCTAAATTAAGAGTGACCAAAAAAAAGTTTTAATGAACTTGTCAAGGAAGTTGTTAGGTATTAAATGGTCATCTTATGTTTAGATACTGTCTTGGTCAGCTTGGATTGCAATAGCAAAATGCCACAAACTAGGTGATTTATAAATAACAGTTTTTGAGGCGGAAGGCTGAATCAGGATGCTCATATGGTCAGGTTTTGTCTGTTGAGAGCCTACTTCCTGGTTCTAAGCCATTTTTTCACAGTGACCTTACATGGCAGAAAGGCAAACTAATTCTGGGGGCCCCTTTTTTAAAGTTATTAATTCAATGTTAATCATTTCCCAAAAATCCCATAATACATTAAGTGTTAGGCTTTCAACAGCAATTTTGGGACATCACAAACATTCAGACTGTCACTGACAGTTATGTGGAGGGGATATTTTTAAAAGGGGATTAGGAGGTCTATGTTCTTTGAATTTCGAATCAATAGTATTGAAATGGACAATTTGCATTTAAGTTTACTTTTTAGCATATGCTGAATACATCTGCCTTCAGATTTACTAAATTCTTTGTTTCAAGAATTAAAGCATATTATGTGAGAGTAAATACTGACTTGCCTCTTTGTTAAATTACTGGGGAAAGTGTATTTTGTTTCTTTAATCTTGATCTCAATGAAAGTTGAAAAATAATCTGATTTTAGTAGTGAAAAATGACTGCCAAATGTGACAAACACAGTATGCTGATAGTTCCTGAAGATAAGACTATGTGAGGCATGTTATCAATCTAACTGCAGACAATAGAATAACTGTACTGTGGATTCCATTCCTGCCTGGTAGAAGATGAAAATGCTTAAAATAGAAGCTTATTGTAGCATAGACTTTATACTACAGCCATGTTTTAAGTCTCTGTTCATCAAATGTTTTGGTCATGATCCACAGTAAAATACATTTACATGTGATTTGTGATATGCATGCACATCTAAAATGAAAGATTATCCAAGTGGTATTTAACTTTACTAGATGAGGTACATTTTGTTTTCCATTCTGTGTCCTGTTAAAAGTATTAATGTTGACCTCAAACAATATCCACTATAGTCAAGGTCTGCCAGTTCTACTAGATGGTGTGTATTTTTTTTATAATTGTAATTGAATACTTTTGACTTCAGGGTCAGGGTGGGTTGGATTCCTTTGCAGCAGACATAAAAATAATTTTATCTCCCAGAACATTGGTGATAGCTAGTAATGAAATGTCTGTTTTTACCGTGGAAATAATAACTAGGGTCGGATATTTTAAAATCTTCATTTCTTGGTTGATACTTAACAGTGGAATTGCTATGTTAATATTATGAGAAATAGCCACCATATTCCAGAGTGATTGAACCATACTGCATTTTGTCCAGTAGTGTTTCAGCGTTCCAGTTGTTCCACATTCTCATCAGCACTTGGCAAAGAGGCATCCTAATTTTAGCCTTTCTATTGGGCTTGTAGAGTTTATCACTCATTTTAATTTGCTTTTGATTTAATCCTGGTGATGTAACCCTAGTTTATGATAATGAGCATCTTTTCCAAGCGTATTTGCTACTTTGATTGAATGTTCAGATTTACCTTCTTAGTATTGTGGTAATTCTTTATACATTCCTGATATAATTCTTAATCAGATATGCCTTTTGCAAATATTTTCTCCCAACTTGTGTTTTTTTCTTAGGGTCATGCTTTTTATGTCCTATTTAAAAATTTTGACCTAATACAAGCTCACA